TCCTTGGAATGTCTTACACTAGGACTTCGCTGATCCCACAAGCTCCTTTCCGGATGAGCTGACCCTAATCTCTGGGAAGCTGGATCTGGAGGAACAATGGGATGGGATTTGTAGTGACCCTTCCCGCCCTTCTTGAGCAGCTTGTGAACCAGAAGATGTGCCTGGAGAGAAAGCCTCATTTGGGGAAGTGCAGTAGTCGAAGTTCTTTATTTTGAAAATGAAGAACAACCCTCCTCATAATCCTGTCTCCCTTTCCCCCTTTCCAACTAGAATATCAATTCCCCTGAACATGAGTCAGTCACATTTCAAGGAAAACTGGCTGATGATGAAGAAATCACTAGAGGGCAAACTTCGTCCTTCCAGCTGTGGGTCTCTGAACTATAGAGCCAGCACATCCCCCAGTGTAGGGACTGGGCCTTCCTCGCCCATTGAATGCTTTCTATACATGAAGACTTGGAGCTCTTTACAGATGACAGTAGCCAGTGAGGAAGATAAAAGAAGAGGAAAGACCCAAAATGCGGGTTTGCCACTCTTTGTTGCCAGCACCATGAGGATAGTCACTCTGCCTTCTTTCCACCACCTCCAACTTCACACACACACCCAAACTCTGGTCCCACAGAGCCCGTTTGGTAACTGCCTGACCGCCCACCTTGAAACCAGATGGTCATGAACCTGTCACCAAGTCATCTGAAGATCTTCCACTGCAACCTGTGTGACATCTGCCATAGGGACCATGGGACATGATTGAAGACCCACTCCAATGTAGTTGATAAAGGGGTGGGTCTGCACTGAAGTTAGGTGCACCAGGGCCTGGGCCAAGGGTGGGCTGGGTCCGTCATGTGTGTAGTGGTCTTCTTCAGAGTAGCAGCTGATTCAGAAGGATTCCAGAGAACTGCACAGACTAGGTCTAGTCAGGTATCTTGGACATTTTCTATTTCTAGATTACAGAATATAGCATATGCTGATTTTAATATAACTGCATATGTGACTTTTTCAATGAGAAAAATTTTAAGTGATGTTATAAACAATTTTTGACATATAGAGAGAATAGTCAAGTATCTGTTTAACTAGCAACATAGTTACTCATGCATATTTAAAATACTACATAAGTATGGCCTGGTACAGTGACTCATGCCTGTAATCCTAGCACTTTGGGAGGCCGAGCTCAGTTTGAGACCACTTTGGACAACATGGCGAAACCCTGACTCTACTAAAATACAAAAATGTAGCCAGGTGTGGTGGTGGGTGCCTGTAGTCCAATCTACTTGGGAAGTTGAGGTGCAAGAATTGCCTGAACCTGAGAGGCAGAGGTTGCAGTGACCTGAGATTGTGTCACTGCACTCCAGCCTGGGTGACAGAACAAGACTATGTCTCAAAAAATGAAATATAAAATAAAATAAAATAAAATAAAATAGGCCCTGTGCCACGGTTCACGCCTGTAATTCCAGCACTTTGGGCAGCTGAGGTGGGCAGACCACCTGAGGTCAGGAGTTCAAGACCAGCTTGACCGACATGGTGAAACCCCATCTATACTAAATACAAAAAATTAGCCAGGTGTGGTGATGCATGCCTGTAGTCCCAGCTACTTGGGAGGCTGAGGCAGGAGAATGGCTTGAACCTGGGAGGCAGAGGTTGCAGTGAGCTGAGGTTGTGCTACTGCACTCCAGCCTGGGTGACAGAGCAAAACTTCATCTCAGACAATAAAATAAAATAAAATAAAATAAAATAAAATAAAATAAAATAAAGTAAAATAAACTAAAACTACCTGAGTTTGGAAACGTTGCTTTTTCCCACATTACTCACCTCCTTTACAGCACCAGCGTCTTTGTTGACACAAGATTTCTTTTTAATTATGTCAGAGTTTGTTGATGAATACGTCACCTTTGCTTCAGTTAAATCAAGTAGGATGCAGTGACTCCAAGTCTGAGGGGTACTTCCCAGGAAGAGCAACCCCCCACAGCCATTTGCAGAGCATCCGAGTAAGTTTTACCTTCATCCCTTAGATGTGAATTTGTTATCCTCACTGTGACAATCCCTTATCACATGACTTTTAGAAGGATTCTCAAAAAGCTAGACTCTCACATTCAACCTTGCAATTGCCTGGCTGGGTGTTACGTTTCTTTGCCTCCTATTAGAGACCCTGTCAGCATCCAAAACTAGCACTGTTTGAGGACGTTGGAGTCAATGGTTGTTTCCCAGATAGAACTTTGTGTGTCCAAATAAATGGTTCAAAACCATCAAGCGAATAAATACTCTGGAATAAGAGAAGCCTCGTGAGGATTTGACTCTAAACTGGCTTCCTCTGTTCTGCAGTAAGAGGTTAGGAATAAAACCAAACGTTGCCTGAGGTTCAGATATACTCAAAAGCAATGAGGTGTGGCTCAGGTGTGCACTGGCAAGGTCACTATGAAGTTCAGCCAGAACCTTTGCAAGCCTGGGCTTGAGAAGACAGACGTCTTAGATCCAGAAGGGCCAGTGGAGCTGGGCTGGCCTGCTGCCACTCACAGGCGGAGACTCTGCCAGCAGAAGGGACACTGCTGTCAGAGCTGGGGAGCCGCGGACCACATGGCTGAGGCCCAACCCCAGGTCTCCTGACTCAAAACCTCTTCCCAGGGCTTGTCCTCCTCCCTAAATATATGTGCCCCAAATTGTCACCAGATCTCAGGAAAGCACTGGCTTTGTCTGGGATAAACACCAACTCCACAGCACACCCAGTCATTACCAGATTGGCAGTTGTTGTCTAGGTCTTGTGGCTTCTTGGGGTTTTCTCGGGTGTCTCTCTCCCAAATCTTTCCCCTTTCCTTTGATTATATTCACATAAACATTGAGTTTTATAGCCCTCAAGCTCTCTTAAGCATAACACACTTTGTCCCTCTCTGTTTCCCTATGCAGTTGCCCCTCCCTCTGCTGTCAGAGGCCCATCCAGCTGCTCCAGCCCTATAGCTCCAGTGTCTCCTCCTCTCTCTTTCCCCTACTCTTTTTCTGGAAAGATCTATCTGAGGGTCCTGAAGGAGGAGACTCGAGGTTGTTCTCTTGGACAAAGAGGTCTGGGTGGATGACATCATTCACTTTACGTCTTAGAAAAATAACCTTGTGGCTCTTGGCTCTCTTGCGCTCTCATTTTGGTTGCCTAAGGGCTCTAGGCAGAAGGCCAGGGAGCCCAGCCCCAGCCTAGAGACTTGCAGGGCTCAGAGAGCTGCAGTGTTGGGGCGTCCGCTGTGCCTGCCGTCCCCCCTTGCCACGGACTCTACCTGCAGAACTTCACAGCTGAGAGGCTGGCCCCGAGCTTCCCCTTCATGCCTCCCAAAGCTTACGATTGCTTAATTATACACTGCTGCATACCAATTTCCATTTTCTCTCCTAGTGTGTTTTGACTGATAACTTTGACTTACCCTCCTGATGCCAGAAACTGTGTTAGCTACTGCTCTGGCAGCAGGAAAAGGCCGGTTCCAGGGAAGGTTGAATGCTTATTGTTCTGGATTATTTTGAGGGAAAAAAAAAAAAAGAGGTACCTTGAAGAAAGATGAAGACAAAATATGGAAGGGTGCTGAATTTGCAAAAAGCCTAAGGGGAAAAAACTCAATTGTCCCTCAGGAGTGGAATGAGTCAACAAATCATGGCATGTTCACACAATGGAATACTACCTACCAATAAACAGGAATGAACTGCAGATGCACACAGAAACATGGGTGAATCCACTAGGCACCATGATGTGTAGAAGAAAGCAGACTCGGCCAGGCGCGGTGGCTCATGCCTGAAATCTCCATGCTGGGAGGCCAAGGTGGGTGGATCACTTGAGGTCAGGAGTTCAACACTAGCCTGGCCAAGATGATGAAACTCCGTCTCTACTAAAAATACAAAAATCAGTTGGGTGTGGTGGCGCACGCCTGTAATCCCAGCTGCTCGGGAGGCTGAGGCAGAAAATTGCTTGAACCCAGGAGGTGGAGGTTGCAGTGAGCCAAGATCACACCGCTGCACTCCACCCTGGGTGACAGAGTGAGAATCTGTCTCAAAAAAAAAAAAAAAAAAAAAGGAGGCTCAAAAGAAGACATACTACATGGTTCCATTTATATGAAGTTTTAGAACAGGCAGAAATAATCCATGTGGATAGGGGTCAGAGCAGTCGTTATTGAAGAGCAAGGGAGAATGTGGATTGGCTGGGGAGGGACACAGAGGCACTTCTGGGAGTAGCCTGCATCTCATGCACAGTGGTCATCACACCTATGTATGTGTTCAAAAATTCACCCAGCTCTTAATATTTATGCACTTTACTGTATGCATGTGATGTAGTTTGGATGTTGCGCCCTCCAAATCTCATTCTGCAATGTGACCCCCAACGTTGGAGGTGGGGCCTAGTGGGAAGTGTTTGGGTCATGGAGGTGGATCCCTCAGGAATGGCTTGGTGCCCTCTCTGCAGTGATGAGTGAGTCCTCACTCTATTAGTTCATGCTAGAACTGGTTGTTTAAGAGAGTGGCACTCCTCCCACCGCTCTTCTTCCTCCTCCTCTTCTCCTCTCACCTTGTGACGTGCCTACTCTCCCTTTGCCTTCTGCCTTAAGTGGAAGCTTCCTGAGGCTTTACCAGATGCAGATGCTGGTGCCATGCTTTTTGTACAGCCTGCAGAACCATCAGCCAAATATACATATTTCCTTTATAAATTGCCCATTCTCGGGTATTCCTTCGTAGCAAAACAAAACAGACTAATATGGCATGTTAGACCTCAATAAAAACCTTATAAAAATAGATAAAGTCAATGAGGTGTCAGTGGAGGAGGATCCAAGGCTCAGAAAGAGAAGGAGGTATATGAGAAGCTGAGGGAAGCAAGGGAGAGCATTTCAATAACAGGGAGACATGGTGGACCAATGTAGAGAGATTCTTGGATTGGGTAACTGAGAGATTCTGTACTGACAGAAAAACTTCAACAAGATAGCTTCAACTTGAAGAAAGAGCAAGGTTAGGGGAGATTCTGGAGGCTGATTTTCTTGTTCCTGTTGTTTAAGTCTTGGAGGTGCCTGAAGATGTCTACAACTGGAAGAAAAGAAGCCACTGGAGCGGAAGGTGGGGAGGATAAAGTTTGGAGCAAGATTCTCAAGGAAGCAACAAGATCCTAAGGCAAGTAAATCTGAGTTTAGTTGGGAAAAGGAGGATCATTAGAAGACCAGGAGGGAAAGAAAAGGTGGTAGCGAGGCGTCTAGCCACTCTGTATGGAGCGTTTCTGAGGGTGCTACCAGCACAGGGTGAGCACACTGCTCCGTGGGAGGGATATGAGACCTTGAATACAGGAGTCGCTGTTGGGAATGTGAAATTTTTTCAACAAGAGGTCAGTACTGAAAGTGATAGAGGCCCGGAACTATAACCCGCTACACAACCAGGAAATCCCATTTTGACCAGTTACTAGCCAGGTTTGGGAACCCAAGGATTAATGCAGAGAAGGTGAGCGTGTACAGGTATTCCTCCGGGTTGGGGATTAACAATGCAGATTTGACAAAAAGTTGACAATTCTTGGAAAGTAAACATGTCTCTCAGAAGGACCCGTAATGACGGAAAATGATGGCTTAATATTTGTAACATTAAAGTCCCAAGAGGAGAGGATAATGAGTGAGGAGCTGAAAAATGTTTGAAAAAATTATGATTAAAAATATTTCTGAATTTGGCAAAACGCATAGACTTGTAGATTTGAGAAGCTCAGAGAATCCCAAACAGAATAAGCTCAAAGAGATTCTCACTTAGGGACATCATAAGGAAACTACTGAAAACTAGAAACAAAGGAATTATCTTGAAAACAGCAATGAAAAATGACATTGTTTATAAAATTACAATTATTTAAAGGGTTGTAGATTTCTCATCAGAAACCATAGAGGCCAGGTCAGGCACTGTGGTGTAGGCTGTAATCCCAGCACTTTGGGAGGCCCAGGTGGGTGAATCACTTGAGGTCAGTAGTTCAAGACCAGCCTGGGCAAAACCTGGGCAAAACCCTGTCTCTACTAAAAAACATGAAACTTAGCCAGACGCTGTGGTATGTGCCTGTAGTCCCAGCTACTCAGGAAGCTGAGGCAGGAGAATCGTTTGAACCTGGGAGGCAGAGGTTGCCGTGAGCCAAGATTGCGCCACTGCACTCCAGCCCAGGCGACAGAGCATAGAAGCCAGAATGCAATAGAACATTTCAAAAAACCTTGTTTTGAAAAAATTAAGTTTCATAATGTCTCGTGTTCACTTTCTCTGATTTTCCCTAGTGATTAACATCTTACCTAACTATAGTATAATATCAAAACCAGGAAATCCATATTGGTACAATGTATGTGTGTGCATGTGTGTATGAAGTTTTATGCCGTTTTTATCACAGATGTAGACTGATGCACGTTCAGCCACAATCAAGATACAGAACTGTGCCATCACAACAAAGTTCTCCCTCATGTTGTCCCTTTAAAGTCACACCCACTGCTCTCCCATGACCCCATCCATCACTAACCCCTGGCAACCATTACTCTGGTCTCCAGTTCTACAATTTTGTAATATTGAGCATTTTACATAAATGGAATTATACAATATGTGACCTATTGAGAATGGATTTTTTTTCCTTCAATATAGTGCCCTTGAGATCCATCCAAGTTGTATGTATCAATAATTTGTTTCTTTGTATTATTGAGTAGTATTCCACAGTATGGATACACCACAGTTTGTTTAACCATTCTTCTATTGTAGGATATTTTGGTTGTTTCTAGGTTTGAGTTATTACATATAAAGCTGCCATGAAGAATCATATACAGGTTTTTGTGTGAACATGTTTCTATTTCTCTGAAATAAATGTCCAATAATATAATTGCTAGATCATATGAAAAGTGTATCCTAGTGCTATAGTGTGAATTTTGTGTCACCCCCAAAAATTTATATGTTGAAACCTAATCCCCAATGTGATGGCGTTAGGAGATTGGGCCCTAGGGAGTTAATTAGATCTTATGGGCAAGGCCTTTATAAATGGGATTAGTGCCCTGAAGAAAGAGGTCCTAGAGAGTTGCCTTTCGTCCTCCACCATGTGAGGATACAGCGAAAAGGTGCCATCTGTGAACCAGGAAACCAGCCCTCATCAGATACTAAACCTGCCAGTGCCTTAATCTCAGACTGCCTATCCCCCAGAACTGTAAGAAATAGATGTTTCTGGTTCAAGCCACCCAGTTTATGGTATTTTGTCATAGCAGCTCAAATGGAGTAAGACACTCCTAAGAAACTGCCCAACTACTTCCCAAAGTGGTTGTACCATTTTACATTCTCACCAGCAACATAGACCTAATTTCTTAGCATCTGGGTCAACATTTGACATAGATCCTATTTTAAAGTTTATTTTTGCTGCTCTGATAGGAGGGTGGTGATATATAATGAGAGTCTTAATTCACATTTCCTTAGTGGGCAGTGGTGTTGAGCATCTTTTCATATGCTTATTTTCCATCTTTGGTAAAATGTCTTTTCATGTCTTTTGTCCAATATCTAATTAGACTGTTTATTTGTTATTGATGAGCTTTAATAGTTCTTTAAATAAATTCTGGATATGAGTCCTTTATTGACTATCAGATATCAGAATTATTTGGAAATACTTTCTCCTAATCTGTACCTTGTTTTTGCATCATCTTAGGATATTTTACCAGCAAATGTTTTTAATATTTATAAAGTCCAATTTATCAATTTTCAGTTTATACAACATGTTTTGGTGCCAAGTCTAACCTAGTAGGAGCTCCTGAAAATGTTGTCCTGTTTTTTCCTGAAAGCTTTATAGTTTTACATTTTACATTTAAGTCTGTGATCCATTTTGAGTTTTGTTTTGCTTTTTTTTTATTTGTAATGTGTTAGGTATAAAGTACCTTTTTTTGTAAGCCCACACTTCCCTAGTTACTCAAGCACTGTTTGTTGAAAAGCCCATTCTTTATCCATTTTGGATCTTCATCAAAAATCATTTGGTCATATTTTTCTGGGTCTCTTTTCGGATTCTTTGTCTGTTCCACCGATCTGTGTGTCTAATCCTCTGCCAATACCAAACTGTCTTGATCACTGTTGCTAAGTAGAAAGCCTTAGCCTTGAGTAGACTGGTTCTTCTCCCTTATTCTCCTTTTTTTAGAATTGCTTAGGCTAGTTTAGTTCTTTTGACTTTTCATATAAATTTTAGAATAACCTTATCTACAGAAAAGGTTGCTGGTATTTTAATGCAAATTTTGTTAAAACTTTATATGAATATAGGGAGAATTGTTGTCTTCCAATCTATGAATGTGATGGGTGTCTCTATTTATTTCAATTGCCTTTGATTTCTTTCATCAGCATTGCGTAGTTTAGGCATGTAAACCCCTCAACTACATGTTTTGCTAGATTTGCACCTAAATATTTGTTTTCTTTTTTTCTGTGTGATTGCAAATGGTATTGCATTTTTAATTTGGGTTTCCATATGTTTGTAGCTAGTATATAGAAATACAACTAATTTTATGTTGATCTTATGACTTTGCTGAGCTTATATTAATTCTAGGAGTTTTTTGGTAGATTCCTTGGGATTTTCCACACACCTTTATGTAATCTGCAGATAGCAATAGTTTTAATTCTTTTCCGTCCTGGGTGTCTTTTATTTCTCTTTCTTGTCTTATTGCACTCGCTAGAATTTACAGTACTATGTTAAACAGCCTTGCCTTATTCACGATCTTAGGGAGAAAGCATCACATTTTTCATCACTAAGTACGATGTTGTAGATGTTTTTATCAAGTTGAGGAAGTTTCCTTCAGCTCCAAATTTTTTAGAGTTTTCATCATGAATGAGTATTGAATTTTGTGTTTGTTGTTTTTGTAGCAATTGAAATAATGATGTGATTTTTCTTCTTTAGGCCTGTTAATATGATGGATCACATTGATTGATTTTAGAATATTAAACCAGCCTTGTATTCCTGGGATAAACCCCACTTGATCATGTTATATAATTATTTTTTATATTAAAGAATTCTATTTGTTAATATTTTTCTTACAGATTTTTATGACTATATTCATGAGGGACATTGGACTATAATTTTCATTTTTATATTGTCCTTTCCTAGTTTTAGCATCAGGGTAATACTGACCTCATAAAATGAATTAGGAGATGATCTTTCCTTCCTCTACTATTTTCTGGATTACACTGTATAAAATTGGTGTTAATTGTTCTATAAACATTTGGTATAATTCTCCAGCAAAACCCCCGAACCTGTAAATTTCTTCCTATGGCTTTTAAAAATTATAAATTAATTTTCCTTAATAGTTTTAAGGCTATTCAAATGATCTATTTCATTTTAGATAAATTGTGGAAGTTTGTGCTTTTCAAGCAATTGGTCCATTTCATCTAAGTTGTCAATTTACGTATCTAGAGTTATTCATAGTATTTTCTTATTAACTTTTTGATGCCTGCAGGGTCTTTAGTGATATCCCCTGATTCCTGATGCTGGCAATTTATATGTTCTTTTCTTCTTTGTCAGTCTTGCTACAGGTTAGTCAACTTCATTGACCTTTTCAAGGACTAGCTTTTGTTTTGTGGATTTTCTCTATTGTTTCTTTGTTTTCATTTTCACTGCTTTCTGTTCAATCTTTTTATTTCCTTCTGCTTGCATTGGGTTTATTTTGCTCTTCTTTTTCTAGTGTCTTGAGGCCAGAGCTTAGCTTATTGATTTGAAGAATTTCCTCTTTAAACCATGGGTTACTTAGAAATGTGTTGTTTAATTTGCAGGTATCTGAGATTCTCCTGCTATGTTTCTGTTACCGATGTCTTGTTTGATTCCACTGTGGTCCAAGAACACATTCTGTATAATTTCAATTATTTTACATTTGTCAAGGCTTGCTTTACAGCCCAAGATATAATGTATCCTGGTATATGGTCTTTGGGCACATGAAAAGAATGTGTGTTCTGCAGGTTTTGGGTAGAGTGCTCTAGAAATGTCACTTAGACCCTGTTGGTTGATGATGTTGTTGAGTTCTTCCTCATCATTGCTGATTTTCTACTTGGTTTTATATCATTTGTAGAGAAACGGTAGCAAAATGTCCAATGATAATTATGAATTTGTCTATTTTTCCTCTCAGTTCTGTTGGCTTTTACTGCACATATTTTGGGTGCCACCT